CTCTTTTACTAAAATCACTAATTCATCAACTGTAATTAAATCTATTTGTTGAAGCCGGTCAATGTCAAAGGAAAAATGTTAGAGAAATTTGGTCTCTTAGGATTCCACCAAATTCGCACCAATCTTCAAGAATAACAAGAATCGACGAGACCTGCAAAATAGAATAGTATTAAAGACCGGTGTGGCTCTTGCCACACAGGCTCCGATGCTTAAGTAAGAATCAGATAGAGTGTTGTGAGCATCGCCAAGAGTAGAGATTTATAGCATACCTTTAGGGTTTGACTTACTTGAAGTTGAATCCTGATCCCTCGATTGTGGAATTTGAATCCTCATACATCTAATCTAGATCTTCTCCTTTTGAATATAATATATCTTCTCCTAAATCTGAAGGTCATCAAGATATCTTCCCTTTTGAATCCCTTGAATAAATGGAATTGAGATTTTCTCATTCATAACAATAGTCCTTACTCTCAAAGTTGAAGATTATCAGACTATTTTGTTGTGTGGTTGGCTGCAATAAGTCTCTTGGGCTCAGCTACATGGTTGGTTTTAATCTAACCCTTGTGTTTCTAATATATTTGGCTTCTATCGGTTTTTTATGAGTTTAATCAATACCTTTGGGTTTCTAACCTATTTTGGCTTTTGCCAAATGGTTTTATACCCTGGGTTTTGTTGACTGGTTTGGCATGCTTGCTTTCTGAGTCTGTCCTAGTTCGAGTTCCTTGATCAGCTGTTGATTAGCTTACCCATGCCCCCACTTGAGGATGTTTTGTTTGGGAATCAAACAAATAATTTTCTCAAGTATAAAACATAGGAAATAATTAATTTACCTCAAATTTGAACATCATAGTAGAATAAACAACATGCTTAATTTTTATTTAACAATTCATCACCTTCAACCATCCTGGGCAAGAATAATTCTCAGTTTACCATCCTCCTCGAATGACAATCATCGTCGGAACGTTGTTGATCTCTCCAGAGTTCATATTGTTGGCTTTTAGATCTTAGTCATTCCCACATACGGCGCGAATTGTTGATGCTTGGATTCTGGTAGACCGGTTCACTCCACCTCATGCATCAAACTCGAATATCAAGGGACCAGATACCTACAAAACCGAACAGACCTAATCCGGTGTGACTTCTGTCACACCGGCTCCGATGCCTAAGTTAGCTAAAGGAGAAATCACTAAACAAAGGCACTTGAAAGTGTAATTTTGGCTTACTTTCAATGGGTGACCCTCTCCCTATTTATAGTGGATTCGCCCCCCTAGGGTTTCACAAGATACCAACCCTAGGTTTGACACTCGTGGGCTTATGGGCTGGGATGCCTAGCATCAGTAGAGGAACAGGGACAGAGCTCGGCTTTGGGCTCGAACATCATATAACTCGAATGGGGACCGAGGGAGAGAGAAAGGAGAGCACCGAGGGCCTTCTCGTCCTAAGGCCGAGAAGGGGTTGGCGCCTCGGCGCCAAGGTGGGGTCGGCACTTCGGTGAGCCAGCCTTTGTGCTTTGGGCCGGTCCTATCTGTCGGCGGTCCTGATTGTCCTTCTTCTAATCTAGTTCAACCCTCTACCATCATACGAACCATACTACGCCGTATAACATAAATAATATAAACGAGAGGATTTAATTTAGTTTAAATTAGAATACATTTATATGTAATTTTATCCTTGTGTCTATAAATGGGAAGCTCATGGAGCTCTTTCTTTGCCAATCAAAGTTCAAAAAAAATCAAAAGCTCCCTTTTTCCAAGTCTCTAACAATGGACTCTCAATTTTCATCTCCACTTAATTGTGTCATCCATCATCAATGGTGATACTCGTCCATCAGCAAATCTTCCACCAAATAGTGATTATTTTCTTTCTAATACTTTTCATTCCACGATAGTAAATCGTTATTTCTTCTTCTTAAAATATAATCTATATATTGACTGCATCGTTCGTTGTTTTTTCTTTGTTCTATTTTAGCCTCTAAACACACAAGTTACATGCAAAACTATTTGAAATTATAATATTCTTTATAAAGTTGGCCTTCAAAAAAATAATCTATATATTTATAAAGTCGCTAGTTATGTAAAAAGCTCCGCACACAAAAATATAAGTGGCCGCTTTTGAGTCTAAAAACTTCATTTTCACTTTGTAATTGGCCACGTGAGTCAATTTTAACCATAAAACTTTGAATTTTATCGAATCAAACCATATTATTACTTTTTAAAGATTTGTGATTAGCTATAACCATTATTTTATTTCATACGTTAATAAATTAAGATTAAGTAAATTTATTGTTGAGTTGAGTGTTTTCTTAACCTTTTTATGTTTTGCGGTTAGGTTTAGATATCTTCATAGTCGAACTTGGGTATTTTATGGCTCTGATTAATTTTGGGTATTTTATTGATTATATTTTATGTAATTTATTGGCTTTTTAGTTACAACTATTTGAATTTAATTTAAAATATATATTAATTTTACCACTTATTTAAATTAAGGTTTAATTTAATAAAATGAAAGTTTAAAATTAGAATTGAAGCATTTGTAAAAGTTGAAATCTTCTAATATTGAGCAAAACGTTAAAGCGCTGAAGGAGGAAGTGAGAAAATTGTTGATTACTTAGGTTGAGAAACCTTCCCAAACAACTAAGTTTGATTGATTCAATCCAACGGTTTGGAATCGTTTATCATTTTTTTTTATAAAAAACTTAATATATAATGAAGAAGCAAAGAGGCAAAAGACAGCCTAAGGCTAAGGGAAGAGGGCTCCCCCTCCCAAAAACTAGTAAAGTAAAGCACTCCAATCTTGCATGATCGACGAGAGCCTATAATTACAAAAGAATTTTCTATGCCTATAACACCACCAAGAAGCATGTAATTGAACTATGTAATTGAATCGCTTATCATTTTGATACTGAGATCAATAAAGCGCTTGATGAAGTTTATAAGGATTACAATGTAGTTTGCGATGAAAAGTAATGAAGATCTCCAAATTGCTGCTTTGAAATTTCGCTTGCTTAGAGAATAAAGATACTCTATTTCATGTGGTAGGTTCTCACTCATTATCATCAAAGTTGATTATTTATTTAGTATAAATTAAAATTTAATTTTGTATTTTGAATATTGTGTAAATTTTAAATAGTTTTAATTACCTTTCTAAAATAATGAGAACTTGTAGACAAATTTATTAGTCATATATATGACCTCAAAAATACAAAGCTAAAGTTTGCACATGGTTGTGCGTGGAGTGAGTTTGAGAGTAATCCTTTTAAGGTGAAACATATTTTTTTATCAATCATTTTGAAGAACAACACAAATTAATTAAAGAGCTTAATCCAAAAATACTTGAAACTTATAAGAGATTTAGAAATTTTGACCATGTGACCAAACATCATAAAAAAAAATAATAATAAATAAAAACTTAAAAGGTACTTCTAATTAGCTATAAACGTTAACACTTCTTACAATTTAAAAATTATGTCAAATTCACGATTGTCGAGTAGCTGTTTAATAACCCTTTCACGTTTTTTATTTTTGGTTTTTAGTTTTTGAAAAACAGGTTAGTATGATAACGAATTTAATTTTTTTGTTTTCTGTTGAAGGTTGGAAAAATTCTAACTAAATTTAAAAAACAAAAAATTGGTTTTAAGAATAGAGTTAAGTTTCTCAAAAAANAATGGTCAACTTGTTTTTTTCACATATTTCTCTCCAACAAATTTTTTTCTCACGTTAAAATTTTTCCAACCTAAACTTCTCCTCAAAAAATTTATCTTTCTATCTCTAAAATTTGCATCACTGGAAAAATTACTATTATGTACTAAAAAAAATACTATTATTTTTCTCTCTCCAATATATCCATCTTTATATATTTTTATTCCTTTCTCTTTTTTTTTCTCTAATATATAACCTTCGTTTTTCTCTCTCTAAATATTTAATATTTTCCAAAAATTTTCTGTCTCTCAAATTTTACCTTTTATAACTTTTCTTTTTCTTTAAAAACCATAAGTTTATTTGATTCGTTTAGTACTATAAAATGATGATATAAGCTTGAACATTTGACCTCCTAGAAAGAATTAGATGTCATTAAGTGTAAGGGCAGTATTGTAATTTTTCAGTAAAAAAAAATTTAATTAAGATATCTTAGTTGGAAGGGTAATTTGGTCTTTTGAAAAGAAAACAAAACATGGGACACGTGTGGTGTGTGTGTGTGTTTGTGACGTGTTAAAAAAGAAAGAAAAGAGTAGGAAAGGGAAAGGGGAGAAAACGTAGGAGGAAAAAAAAAAAAGAGAACGGAAAAGAAAGAGAGCAAGGAGAAGAAAAGAAAGCAAAGGGGAAAGGAGAAGAAATTGAAGGTGAGGTTTGTATTTATGGGTTTTGTGAAAAATGTCATGAGAAGTTTGAGTTCTATGGGTATTCAATGAACGGGAAACTCCTGTTGTTCTTGGCTGAGAAGGAACGGTAAATTCGTGGGGTTCGATTTTGCAAAGGATGTATGTTTTGGTTGGATTTTATGGTGGAAATGTTACGAGGGAGCGTATGCGCGCAATCTTTTATGGTATCAGAGCGCGCATAGAAAGACTGAAGATCCTGTCTCGTTCTACATCATCTTTCCCTACCTCACTCTGCATTCTTTTTTCCTTACTGTCATGGCTTTACCAGAAAACTTACTGACTGTGCAATCTTTCCACCAATGTTCCAGCCTTATCTCCCTAAAATTAAACTCTTCAAATTACTTGTTGTGGAAATCGCAAGTGTTACCTCTANCAACCATTTTCCCTCTGACTAATCCATTGTAGTAAATTCTCCTTATTCTCATTTCCATATCAATTCTTACCTTATGTGATTCATTTATGTCATTAGAGCTGGCATTAACTCTTCCCTTGTATAGGCCTATGATGATGTAACTACCCATTGTAGTCTTCTGTGCCTTTATATTTCAGTTTCGTGTGGCTATAAAACTTAAGCAATTGAGTAACGATTTCTTACTTTCTCTTGGATAGTACTAAAGAATTATTCAGCCATAAATCTTTTATGGTATCAGAGCACGCACAGAAAGACTGAAGATCCTGTCACGTTCTACATCACCTTTCCCTACCTCACTCTGCATTTTTTTCCTTACTGTCATGGCTTTACCAGAAAACCTATTGACTGTGCAATCTTTCCACCAATGTTCCAGCCTTATCTCCCTAAAATTAAACTCTTCAAATTACTTGTTGTGGAAATCGCAAGTGTTACCTCTAATCAGAACATTGGGATTGGAACATCACCTCWTGGAAGAAGCTCCKGTCGTTGATGAATGCAAAGGAAAAGAGGGAGAATCAGCAAYCARTACACAAGTACGCACTTGGATCAACAATGATGGCCTCTTAACTTCATGGTTACTAGGAATCATTGCAGAAGATGTGTTGACTCTACTTGAAGGGACTGAAACGGCAAAAGAGGTATGGCACTCTCTTGAAGARTTGTTACTYACCATGACAAAAGAAAATGAAATACATCTAAATGAGGCTCTTCTCACATTAAAGAAGGGCTCCTTATCTATGGATGAGTACATTAGAAAGTTCAAAAACTTGTGTGATAGATTAKCAGCCATGAAAAAGCCATTGGATGACTTAACCAAAGTATTCCATTTRGCAAGAGGATTAGGAATCAAATATAAAGATTTTCGAACTGCCATGTTATCTAAAGCCCCYTATCCTTCATACAATCAATTTGTTCTTGCCTTGAAAGCACATGACCAATTTCTTACTGATGAAGAAGAAGAAAGATCCAGCCAAGTGAATTTAAATCAAGCATTTTTCTCAAATCGAGGAAGGAGCAGAGGAAGAGGCAGACAATTTTCATCAAGGGGAAGAGGCTTTTATCATAGTAAACACCCAAAGAATCAAATAAGCTATAAGCAAGGAATTGTTTCACAGAAGATGAATAATGCTCATCAACACTCAAATGGAAGTGCAGATTTCAAACAAGAGAAACTAGTGATCCGTCAAATATGTGGTAAGAATAACCACACTGCATTGGAATTCATGTTGGAATAGATTTGATCATGCTTACCAATCCGATGAAATACCTGAAGCACTTACTGCCCTGACTTTAAATGAAGTTGCGGACAATAATATCTATGCTGACTCTGGAGCGACTTCTCATGTGGTAAATGATCCAGGTAAAATCCAATTCTTACAACCTTATAAAGGGGCTGATAAGATCTATGTAGGGAATGGAAATGGTTTACACATTACTCACACTGGACACACCACTTTTGGAACTTCTGAAGGACACTTATCTTTAAATAATGTTCTAATTGTACCTGCTATGAAAAAAAATTTATTGTCAATTAGTAAATTAACGAAGGATAATAATTGTTCAATAACMTTCTATGCTAACAAATTTGTTGKGAAGGATCCACAGGGGTTAATTCTAGCTGAAGGATATGAAAAGCATGGTCTTTACAAGCTGGGAGAATTGCAGCCGTATGTCAAAAATACTGCTGCAGCCTTTACTACTACTRCTGTTTTAAATAAAACATCTTATGYTGTGTGGCASAAGAGATTAGGCCACTTGAATAATTATTWTTTAAAAACTCTTGCTAATAAACAGTTGATCAATGTCACTTGTTGGACAAAGAAACAACTAGTTTGTGTTAGCTGTCAATKAGGCAAAAGTTGCAAGTTGTCTTTCAATTCCAATAAAACTTATGCTTTRAAACCTTTAGATAAAGTTCATTGTGATTTATGGGGACCAGCTCCGATCTCTTCTTGCCAATTTTTCAAATACTATGTTAGTTTTATAGACGATTATTYTCGATATGTATGGCTCTACCCTTTGAAGAAAAAATCTGAGTTCCTATCTTGCTTTATCAAWTTCAAACTCCTTGTGGAAAATCAATTTGAAAGAAAGATTAAGGTTTTCCAAAGTGATGGTGGGGGAATTTCAATCCAACTCCTTTAAAAATGTTTTGGAACAAAGTGGCATCCATCATCAATTTTCATGTCCTTACACTCCTCAACAAAATGGAGTAGTTGAAAGGAAACATCGCCACATAGTTGAAACCGGCCTCTCACTTTTATTTGAATYTCATATGCCTCTAAAATATTGGGTGGATGCTTTTCTTACGGCTGTTTATCTAATAAATCGAATGCCCTCCAAAGTTCTAAGCATGAACTCACCATTTCAAAAACTTTATGGAAAAGAACCTAGTTACAATAACTTGAGAGTGTTTGGATGTAGATGCTTTCCATATCTAAGAAACAATCCCAACAAGAATAAGTTTAGTAAACGAACATATCCTTGTGTTTTTATCGGCTATAGTATGATTCATAAAGGATATCGATACTTAGACCCTACAAACAACCGGGTTTATATTTCAAGGCATGTTGTCTTTGATGAAGAGTTCTTTCCTTATGATAAAAAACTCACTAACAGCTCCACCAAGAGCACATTTCCTTTAGTTGTTTCTGATTTTGCAGGCACGATGGACAAGGAGGATAACCTACCAAATATGGAACTTCTTGATGACGACGAAGGCAAAGCAATGGAGAACTCGGAAAGGCATATGAAAATTATCAACACACCCATCTCACARATGACAGAAAAACAACATGAGTTTACCAATGTGACTAAACCAAAGGGAAGATACATATGGCAASAAGAGCAACAAACTCACACTGAACAAATGGTTGCTTCACCAACAGAACCTGAGTCACAAGTGTCTATGGATCACAATGATGTAGACCAAGCCCATAAGCTGGTGCCATCACTAAATACCTCACCTCAACASATAAACTCTCCTTCAACTTTAGCTACTACTATCACAGATTATGATAACAYATCTGACACGAGTAATCACATTATCATTGATCTATCTCTTGCTCCTACAGGACAAACTTCTCTATCACAAGACATACCTGATAAGGCAGGCAGCAGATGACACCCCTATCGAACATCAAATAGAAGATCAAAATCATCAACTGCCAACATTAAACACATCTCTTAAAAACACAGATCTACCTCTAAATTTCTCTACTGTTTTGTCTAACGTTCCTGTCCATCCAAGGTTTGGTAGTGTTCCTGATATAAGCAAACATATCTTTATTGATTTGCCATTTGTATCTACAGGATCGACCTTACCACCAAGAGAACAAACTGACGAGGCAACAACTCAATCCATTCCCTTTGGCACAACAGCATGTCAAMCCTCAAGCCATAAAATGATCACAAGACATAAGCTAAACAAAGATCCATCTCTTGATCCAGATCTTGCACAGGAGGTTCAAGTCTTGAGGGACAACAAAAGTCATGCTCTTATTAGCAACATTCAAGACTCAGAACCAAAGCACTACAAGATGGCGTTGACTCTACCGCATTGGAAAGTAGCTATGGAAGAGGAAATGCAAGCTCTCTTACAAAATGACACGTGGAAACTTGTGCCCAGACCTTTAAACACCAACATAGTTGGGTCCAAATGGATATTCAAGACCAAATATAAGGAAGATGGAACTATCGATCGATATAAGGCACGGTTGGTCGCTCAAGGTTACACTCAAATGGAAGGATTKSATTATGAAKAAACATACAGTCCAGTTGTCAAGCCAACAACTATCAGGTTAATTCTATCAATAGCAACTAGTGCAAGTTGGCCTCTACGTCAACTARATGTGAAAAATGCATTCCTACATGGTCTTCTAAAGGAAGATGTGTACATGGAGCAACCACCAGGTTTTATCTATCCTCAAAACTCACCACCTCACAAATCTTCTCTTGTGTGTAAGCTCCAAAAATCTATTTATGGGCTAAAMCAAGCACCTAGAGCGTGGTTTGATAGATTAGCTAATTTTCTCCTGCACATTGGTTTTACTTSTTGTCAATCTGATCCTTCTCTGTTTGTCTACAAGGAAAAATCTACAYTAACACTTATGCTGGTATATGTTGACGATATTATTCTTACAGGGAACAATAACTCTCAYGTCCAGCAACTTATACAAACTCTTGGTTCAGAATTCTCCTTGAAGGACCTAGGCTCCCTTCACTACTTCCTKGGCATTGAKGTCAAATCTACCTCTAAGGGAATTATGCTCTCTCAAGAAAAATATGCTCGAGATCTTCTCGTTAAAACCAAAATGGCAGGAGTCTCCACCATAAGCACACCTATGGCAACTTCAACACAAGAATCCCCAACTGATATGCAACCAACATATGTTAAACAATATAGGAGTATAGTAGGGGCTCTGCAGTATCTTACTCTCACACGGCCGGACATAGTACAAGCTGTCAATCGAGTGTGCCAACACCTACAACAACCTGTCACTAAGGATTTCAAAGCTGTCAAGAGGATCCTTCGCTATGTTCAAGGAACAATAGACTATGGTATAACCTTTTACAAACATAGCTCCCTTAACCTATACGGTTTTTGTGATGCAGATTGGGGAGGCTGTAAATTGACGAGGCGAAGTACCACTGGTTATTGCATATATCTCGGATCCAACTGCATCTCTAAGTCATCAAAAAAACAACCGACAGTTGCACGATCAAGTTCAGAGGCAGAATATAGGGCCAYGGCAAGCACAGCAGCGGAACTAACATGGATCGGTTTCATCCTTTGCGACATTGGTGTTCCACTACTTCAAACGCCCCAATTATATTGTGACAACATGAGTGCTCTYCACATGTCCATAAATCCAGTCTTCCATGCAAGGACAAAGCACATCGAGATGGACTACCACTTTGTTCGTGAAAAGGTGGCGCTTGGATCTCTCATCACCAAATACGTTCCCTCCAATCACCAAATCGCRRACATCCTCACTAAACCACTCACCAARGCYGYTTTCAAGGGTCTCAGAAACAAACTGGGCGTTCGTTCTACCACTACCTTCAGTTTGAGTAACGATGTCAAACAATTAATACCACTATACTGTCAGCAGAATGGGTCYAGCACATCAACAACAAAATCTCACCAAAATCTTCATAATAACAGCGACGGCTCTTTTTTGACAGCTCGTCAAAAACCATTTTCCCTCTGACTAATCCATTGTAGTAAATTCTCCTTATTCTCATTTCCATATCAATTCTTACCTTATGTGATTCATTTATGTCATTACAGCTGGTATTAACTCTTCCCTTGTATAGGCCTATGATGATGTAACTACCTATTATAGTCTTCTGTGCCTTTATATTTCAGTTTCGTGTGGCTAAAAAACTTAAGCAATTGAGTAACGATTTCTTACTTTCTCTTGGATAGTACTAAATAATTATTCAGCCATAAATCTTTTAAGTATGACATTTCTTTTTATAAACACAACTCTCTAAATCTTTATGTTTTTTGTGATGTAGATAGGGGAGGTTGTCCAGATACTAGGACGAGCACCACTAGATTCTGCATCTTTCTCGGATCGAACTGCATTGCGCGGGCTTCAAAGAAACAACGTACAGTAGCTAGATCCAGTTTTGAAGTATAATATTGTGCTGACTATTGTTGGGAAAAATATAGATTAATCGATCCTCATGTAAGTTTTTCAAACATGAGCTATATGATTTTCCCCTTCCACAGGCTAAAAACAGATAAGTAAGTAACAATAACAAAGAGCAAGTTTAACACCATAGGGATTATACTGGTTCGCCCCTATCTTGGGACTGCGTCCAGTCTTCTGCGAAAAATCAGGTTCAACTATAGTTCGAAATATTACAATGGAGATCTCACCCGAGATATTGCTATCTTGTCTCTAAGTATCCTAATAATGGCTACCTAGGATTACACAATTGAAAATACCCTCACTAAATCCACCAGATACAAACTCATTTGTCACACACTGCCCACAACCAGTCAAGTATCTCTTACTTGGATTTTGTACAAATGAAACCTTAATAAAAGGGTTTTATTTATAAGATGTTAAATATGTCAATCCTTATAGGAAAATAATATTGTAATCCTTATAAGACAATAATATCCTACTCCTTGTAGGAATTTGTAGTGGTGTTTGAAAATTCTTTTACTCGTAGGATACCGGTCATCTATTTTGGCTCCATTATCCCAACAGCTATAACAGTCGCTGAGCTAACATGGATGACTTTCATTCTTAAAGATGTTGGTGTGCCAATTCTCAATCTCTCCAATTGTTTTTTTGACAACATGAGTGTCCTACATATGACCATCAATCCACTCTTTCATGTTAAGATAAAGCATATTGAACTGGATTACCACTTTGTGAGGGAAAGTAGCAACGAGATTTCTCATTACTTGCTATGTCCCCTATCATCTGCAATTAGCCGACATCTTTATGAAACCTCTAGCAAAGACTACTTTGAAAGAGTTAAGGAGCAAACTTGCCATTTGTTCCACTCATTCCAGTTGGAGGAAGAATGTTAGAATTACAGAAGATGAAGCTATGGAAGCAAATATTGATTGATTCCCATAAAGATACCTTAGCTATTGCATTCCCTCCATGATTAATTCCATGGAGGAAATATATCACATTTATGAGTGATTGAGAGAATAATGGGATCCTTTCAAGAAGGACGGTACCAACCTTAAATCACCAATGGATATATCTTAGATGGAAATTTGCAACCTTATTTGACTCATTCTCTTTACCATCTCACTCTCTATATAGGAAAACTGATTTAATACTATTTTCCTAGCCATTGGAATCAATCTTCGGCTCCAATCAACAACTTGTAAATTCCCTTTTATTCCTTTTTTTTCTTTCGTGTACTACTATATAGATCATGAAATTGTACTGATATTGGGTTAAGGAAATGAAACATGCATTTTACAAAAATTAGTTGGCTTGAATCTCTTTTATGTTAGAATTACAGAACATGGAAGCTGATGGAAGAATATAGATTGATTCTCACAAAGATACCTTAGCTAATGAATTACCTCTTCTTAATGTAGGAAATCAAGAAATTGGAAGACAAATACTTCACAACACATGCCGCCCGAGCAATCAATCATCACATGATCACCCGGAGCAACCTCAATTGGATCCAAATCTTCACCAAAAAGTGCAGAAATTCAGAAACAACAACCAAAACTTATCCCTCATTACTACAAATTAAGCAAGTGAGCCAAAAAGCTACAAATTTGCTTTAAACACCCCCCATTGGAAAGCAGCAATGGAAGAAGAAATGAAGGTTCTTGAACAAAACCACACATGAGATCTAGTTCCAAGACCTCTAAATACAAATATTGTGGGATCAAAGTAGATTTTTAAGACTAAATTGAAAGAAGATGGTTTCATTGAAAGGTTTAAAGCTCGCTTGGTGGCCCAAGGTTACTCACAAGTGGAAGGCATATT